AGCCACATTAGTGGTATCTGTCCTCTAACAGATATGATGCAACTTGTGATTCATTCGTACATTCATTCAATTAGAAGACAGGAAGGTATTACAGCTTTCTAGGCCATTTACCTCTTCCCTTTCATTATCCTACATTAGAATGTTCTCTCTCCCTCTCTCTCTCTCTTTCTTCTCTCTCCCTCTCCACAGTATGACAGTCCACTTGACATTTCAAGAAGAAAAAAAAAAAAAAAATATCTGTAAACATTACTTTCCTCTCAATTTTATTTTTTAATGAGCCATTTATTCATTCAAATTTATGAAATTCCGTTTAACTTTTATTCTCACAATGTAATAGTCTGAATGCAACGAGACACTTCTTCCTTTCACATTAAATTCTTCAATTGCTGCTTATGGAGAGAAATTTTTTTTTTTTCTCATAAAGATTGAACTACATTTTACACTAGTAATCTCTATCTTTCCTCTTTCACTCTTCACGTACGTGTTTTACGTAAACTGTTACGTAGTATTTCTAATACTGACGTAGTGATTCTAATACAAGAGCACATTAAATTCTACAGAAAAGAAGAAATCTCACTTTATTTACAGCAATGATTAGCATTATTAAGCAATATCAGCATTTATCTGATCTGTAAAGCAGGATGGCCAAGTAATTAAAATTTAATATTGCATAGTGCAAGAAGGAATGAAGGAAAAAAATAGTTTAGGTAATGAGTAGGAGAACACAGATATGAAGATGATAAGGATGATATGCTTATGTTAACATTTAGATTAATGTTATCAGTGTGTATTAACAGTACTATCACTAAATGAAATATATTGGATAAGATAGTTTTTTAATAGCAAAAGGATAGGAAAAAGTGGTCACAGTACCTTTCTTTTTTCTTTATAGTTTTTTAGCAAACGAATTTGATTTAATTCAACATTATGTCTCGTATTACATACTATCGATGAAGTAATTAATGAAATTACGAACAAATGAAATGAGTTAAAATTATAAACAAAATAATTTAAAAGACAGAAAAATCGAATACAACTCAACAATACAAACAAATTAAGTGAAAATGATGAAAATGCTGCATGCATTTTGGATTGGAAATGTTCAATACATATAATTAGGGATTGAGAGGTGTATTATTTTATTAATAGGAATGTTAGATAGAGAGTAGTAGAAGAGAGTTACTGATAAATGATAATGATAATGGTACATAGAAACGATTAACAAACAGAGTAACATGAATGAACCCATGAATAAATCCCGGTATATCCCGGTGTGTCAAGGTTTCAATGAAATGTCCTCACTGCCTATTATCCATTTTTTTGATCTGTTATCTTTCTCATTAAATTACCGCTATAGTTTATCACTCGTATCAGTTAACCGTCCACTACAACATTAATTAATAAATGTTTCAGGTATACCAGACAACTCACAGACGAACCTGTAAAACTAAGCTGCTACTTAGAGGCGGTAATGACTCGCCACAACAGCCCATTTACTTTACCCTTCTGTGAAGTGATTATAACAGCAGGAGCCTTTCTTTTCCCTCCGCCTACCCAAAATAACTAGCTTTACCTACTCGTCGACATCAAGCAACATTATGATGACTTGTTGACAATTAGAGGTAATACTACTGCTACTGCTACTGCTACTACTACTACTGCTACTGCTACTGCTGCAAGCTTCATGCAATGAGCATAAAACATGAGAGCGACGGTGGTTGCTGATTGGCTCAATCTCATCTTCGCTTGTTTATCATAGCTTTTCTCCCTCATCGTTTATTGCATATTTCCTGTTTTGCTCGTTTCCTTGTTTGTTTGTTTGTTTGTCCATCCATCCATCCATCCATCCATCCATTGGTTTCACATATTTTTCAAAGTGAAAGAGTGCTTTTCAAATGCGGTAATGCTGCTAATGGCAATGACATCGCGACATTTGCACATAATGAAGAGACGAGAGGAGGACAATGTCACTGAAAGAAATAGAAAAAGCAACGGATAGAGAGATGATGATGATGATGATGATGATGATGTTTCCACCAATGTTTTCATTTTGGGTTATAGATTATACGACACGACGTACTCGTACTCACTATATTACATTATATCACATCACATCACATAGTGTGTCGTATAATCTAAACATATATGAGTTTATCCTTGTGATATATTTATCACGTAGAAATGAAGTAAATGCAATGATTAAATTAAATTAGTGCTAGTGGGATAGTTGAACAATGGAGTGAGATGGAGTGATATCAGAGAGGATTATTCTTGAATGGTTCGAGAAATTCTCGAATAAACAGCACAAGTTGATTACTTTGATAATCTTTAGGAAGAAACCTCAAAGAAGAACATCGAGAGACATCAGATCAACTATCTCGTTATCCTTCTACACCTCAAAGCAGAAACTATCGACACACACACACACACACACACATGCATGCATATACACGAATCATCAGACACACATACTCAGTTGACTCTATTGTATATACACGTGTATGTGATGTATGTGTGTGTGTGTGTGTGTGTGTGTGTGTCTATGACCGACCAGCGCCGAAGTTTATGATAATGTCCGTTGACACCTCTCAGCTGGTCTTTGGTGTATTATTTTTGATAAATGCAACGTAAATGTAACTCTCCTAATCTATTCTGTTACGTAAGTAAAACTGCACGTGAGCTATGTTTAATGTAAATTCGGCTATCATTTATTAATGAGTGAGTAATTAATTATAATATTTAATCATTGAATTTGACGCATTTCACTTTAGGAGAAAAAAAAAAAAAAAGTAATAAGTATGAAATGAACAAGGCATAATGAATGAATATCTAAAGTTCTGAAGAATGCATCTTTTCATCTATTAGAATCACTGATGTAAGTGATGTACAGATTCATCAACCAATGTACGTGATAACTTAACAGTATCTTAAGAGCATTAAATTAAGAATCATCTTATTGATCAGTTAATTATTAATCACAATCGTAATCATCTTATTGATCAATTAATCATTAATCACAATCGTAATCATCTTATTGATCAATTAATCATTAATCACAATCGTAATCATCTTATTGATCAATTAATCATCATTATTAGACTAGAAAATTGTATCAAATCGATTTTTGATTTTTTAACAAGAAATTAGTAACAAATCACTTCTTATGATATATTTTAGTGTAAATTGCACATATTTAACAGAAATCTATTAGGTATAATTATGATACGATCACTATGAGATTAAATTATTGAGAAATTTGTTAACAATGCTTCTTCTCAATATGTGTTACCTTTATCAGTGATAAAAAAGATAGCAAATCTTATTGAAGTGCTACTTTGGTCCTAAGTTATAAGGTAGTTTGCTGATATGGTATCACACTGTTATCCATATATATATATATGAATAAAGTGTAATAAATGGTTCACAAAATTAATTATCATTTAATTTCAAGCAAAATATCAATAATTCATTCGAAAATAAACGATGACATAGCAATAATTAACATCTAAATGACGAATACATATTACAATGATTATTTATAAATAAGCATATGAAAATTTTGATCTTTTTTTTTTTTTTTTTGAGTTTAGAACACTAAAAAATGTTATCTAGGATTAAAGTGGTCTCTTTTCTCTGGACAGCAAAATTTTAAAACTAAGTCTGAGCATTAAGCAGAAGTTTTAAAATTCTAAGCTTAATAAAATTAGGAGTGCGTGATTTTCTCATGTATTTTTCATACATTTAATTTGATATTTAAGTTTAGTTAATGAGTTCATAAAATAAACTCTTTATCACTTCATTTCATATCATTGAATTTAAATTAGCAGATAATGAAACTAGCATTAGTGTTGATAAGATTGATTTCTAATTTTTTTTTTAAGACTGTTCTGATCAAAGTGCAAAATTTCAAGGTGAAAAGAAAACAATGGTTTTCAAATGGAATCAGCGCCAAAAAGAAAAAGTCCATGGAATTAAATTCCCAGGTGGCCACATAAACAATAAAAAAAAAATATTCCAATAGTATCATTTATAGTAATTTTGAAAGAAATTCACATTTAAAATGGTATGCTTAAAATTTGATTGAAATTCATTTACATCAATGATTTTTGTTTCAAATACCAGTTGAAATATGAACGCCCAGAGCTATTCTATTCTATCATATGTCAATGTTGTCTTAAAAAAAAAAAAATTCAAATTCTAGAGAAAACAAAAATAGAATAGTATTGACAGAGAATAAAAGAAATAGATGATAGATTTATTCAGTTTTAAACTTTTTTTTTTATTGCTACTGATATTGTACTAATGATATTTACATTTATTTACTTATGTTATAAAAAACATAAGTTTTCAGCAGCACTATTAAATGTGATAATTACCAATTGTAATTTTATCATCGATAATGTTACAGTTACAGGTGTTATTTTCATTGATAAACACAAAAGATTGGTTAATTGTTAGATAGATTAATTAATTAATTAATTAACTAATTAATTAGATAGTTGAATGAAAATATAATTGAAATAATGTTGAAATTTTTGAAAAAAAAAATTGGTAATATATAGAAATAAAGAAAAAAGATAATATAATCTTTTTTTTTTTTTCTATTTTTTTAAATGCATTACGAAACAACTAAGAGAGGAAAAATGAATGAATGAATGAATGAATGAATGCCTACATATGCGCTTATTGCATTTTTACTTTTTGTTTACATAGTTCTAATGCTTCTGATCAATTTTGGCTCCAAATGTTCTTGAAGGACGGACGGATGAACGGATGGATGATAGTTGGATGATTGGATGGTTGGATAGTTGATAGTTGGATGGTTGATAGTTGGATGGTTGATAGTTGGATGGTTGATAGTTGGATGGTTGATAGTTGGATGGTTGATAGTTGGATGGTTGATAGTTGGATGGTTGATAGTTGGATGGTTGATAGTTGGATGGTTGGATGGTTGATAATTGGATGGTTGATAGTTGGATGGTAGGATGGTTGATAATTGGATGGTTGATAGTTGGATGGTTGATAGTTGGATGGTTGATAGTTGGATGGTTGATAGTTGGATGGTTGATAGTTGGATGGTTGATAGTTGGATGGTTGATAGTTGGATGGTTGATAGTTGGATGGTTGATAGTTGGATGGTTGATAGTTGGATGGTTGATAGTTGGATGGTTGATAGTTGGATGGTTGATAGTTGGATGGTTGATAGTTGGATGGTTGATAGTTGGATGGTTGATAGTTGGATGGTTGATAGTTGGATGGTTGATAGTTGGATGGTTGATAGTTGGATGGTTGATAGTTGGATGGTTGATAGTTGGATGGTTGATAGTTGGATGGTTGATAGTTGGATGGTTGATAGTTGGATGGTTGATAGTTGGATGGTTGATAGTTGGATGGTTGATAGTTGGATGGTTGATATTGGATGGTTGATAGTTGGATGGTTGATAGTTGGATGGTTGATAGTTGGATGGTTGATAGTTGGATGGTTGATAGTTGGATGGTTGATAGTTGGATGGTTGATAGTTGGATGGTTGATAGTTGGATGGTTGATAGTTGGATGGTTGATAGTTGGATGGTAGGATGGTTGATAATTGGATGGTTGATAGTTGGATGGTAGGATGGTTGATAATTGGATGGTTGATAGTTGGATGGTTGATAGTTGGATGGTTGATAGTTGGATGGTTGATAGTTGGATGGTTGATAGTTGGATGGTAGGATGGTTGATAATTGGATGGTTGGATGGTTGATAGTTGGATGGTAGGATGGTTGATAATTGGATGGTTGGATGGTTGATAGTTGGATGGTTGATAGTTGGATGGTTGATAGTTGGATGGTTGATAGTTGGATGGTAGGATGGTTGATAATTGGATGGTTGGATGGTTGATAGTTGGATGGTTGATAGTTGGATGGTTGATAGTTGGATGGTTGATAGTTGGATGGTTGATAGTTGGATGGTTGATAGTTGGATCATTTCGCGCTTTCAAACTCTATGAAAATTCTCAGCTTTATAATATACATACATATATATGTATATACTTTTTCTTCTTTTTTTTTTTCCTACTGCTCAATGTTTGTCAAATGGGCATTCATCCGGACATTTGCACATTTTCCTGTATGCAAAAAAAAAAAAAAAAACCTTCGATACAGACGACGAACACTCTCGTTGCACAAACTCATCACCAGCTAGTCTCGTCTCAAAAAATTTCCGGTCTTTTATCATTTTACTATTCATCAACTTCTCTTCACTATTCTTCTCAATCTCCTATGCAATCATTATCGGATAGTTACTGGTTTTTTTCACTGTAATCGAATATCTATCTATCTATTTGTTAATGTTACACTTTTTGCAAAAAGTTGAATAAGGTTTTAAATTTTTGAAAGTGTTGAAAATGGGTTATCTTACTATTTAGCTAATAGCAAATAAGCAAAGAGAACAGAAAAGAATGTAAATAAGTAATTCAAGTTTTCAGAATGAGAATTTTTTGCTAATTCTTTAGCCAATTACTAAATAATATATAAGAATTGTACGAATGTATAACTATCACTGAATACGACATTTATACTTTTAAACTTAATTAATTGTTATCATATTAAGGTATAGTATATTTAGTGAACATTGAGATCAAACTTGATGATAGCAAACTGATAGATAACAGAACGATAATATGAAAATGAAAGAAAACAAACGAAAACGAAGTGTCATACTCTGTCATCGTTTCCTGTTCTTCGGGTGACAAACTCAAACACTACTAGTGTGTATGTGTGTGCATGTATGTATGTGTGGGTACAAGGCTGGACAAATAATACAAAAAGTACAGACTGAAGATAGGGATGTGTGTTTACCTTAGCTGGCTTGTTACTCTTGGAACTGCTCTATTTCAGAATTATTTCATTTCATATGATGAAAAGTATAAGTATGAAATATAGGATCAGTATTTATTATTATTTTCAAAGGTTAAAGACAATTGCGCATTTATGATTTTCCACAAAACTCTTTTGTAGGCTTTTTTATTTATCAATTATCTTATAAGTTTTATTTCAATTAAAAATTAATTACAGCAAAAAATATAAATAAAGTTTCCAATATTAAATGAATATAGTTTTATAGTGTCATTTATCGATTTACTGAAATGATCAATGTTTAAGCAATTCATTTTTTATCATTTTTTTTTATTATTATAAAATTAATTAAATGAACTTTAAAAATTTAAATAATCGAACATGCAGCATAAATTAATTAATTTAACAATAGAATCAAAGCTGTTAGTAAAAAATAATAAATTCTGAAAAAGTATTAATAAAGCTGTTCCATCAATATTTAAATGTATAGAATTCCAATACTTTATCATTCATTTCTCAATCTTTTCTTCGTAATATTTGTCAATAAATTACAAAAAAAAAAAAAAATTTATTAGAAAAGAATTTGTTAAATTACTTTGAAATCTTTTTAAATTTTCCATTTTTAGATGATAACAATACTAATAGATTATCAGATTAAATGAAATAACAATAGTGAATAAAATTAAAAGAGAAAGAAATAAGCTAACAATTAAGTTCGAAATTAATTGTGGAAAAATTTACAAACATGTCTGTCTGTATGTTGTGCATGTGTATGTATGTATGTGTGTGTGTGTGTGTGTGTGTGTGTGTGTGTGTGTGTGTGTGTGTGTGTGTGTGTGTGTGTGTGTGTGTGTGTGTGTGTGTGTGTGTATGTGTGTGTGTGTATGTGTGTATGTATGGAAATGAACAGGAATACACACTGGTTTTCGAGTCGTTCGTTAACAAATTATTGCTTGTTATTTCGAATTAGACAGCAGTAGGAGTAGCAGTAGCAACAAGAATAGCAATGTTATTTGCCGTAGAAGGTACCAAATAATTTTGTTTTTTATTTTTTTTTATTTTTTCAAATAATTTGAAAATGAAATAATTTGAAAATTTTTTTTTCTCATTTAAACAACCCAAAAAAAAAAGAGAATGAAAAAAATGAAAAAGGCAAAATTTATGAAAAATAAATGAGATAGATAGATAAATGTATGTGATCTGATGATGATAATAATGATGATGATGATAATGATGATGGTGATAATAAAATTAAAACGAATCATTTACTAAGAAAATTTTTTAGCTAAATGAGAATATCAATGATTGGTACCAATCTAAAATTGATGGAATAAGCAATCATTTGAAGAAGTAACAAAATTTTGATAACAAACTAACAATTATATATATATAAAAGCATTAACAATTTTATTGGTAAATGCATGATGAATTGAGTAAATATAGATGGATGGATGGATGGATGGATGGATGGAAGGAAGGAAATGATGAAAATTTCTCTTAGCAAAAGATATATTTATTATTTGTGATGAAATTGAATCCACGAATAGAATAATTAAACAGAATAAGTAATCATTTCAATATCGAATGCTCAAAATCATTTTTGCCACTCATTCATCCATAAATAAAATGAAATTATTGCAAAAAAGTGCACTAATAATAAATGGCTAATATAATTTTTATGTAAACAATAACTTTTAGTAAATTTTTTACTTTCAAACATGCAATTGTACACACACACACACACATACATACACGAGAAGATAATTGAGAAACGTGTGACAGAATTTTAGTAACATTATATAATCATTTTCATTAACAAAATGATAATTAATCCTAATGGCAGAGATATGACATATCATTTTTCTTTTCTTAAATTCTATGTTTGCTTTAAATTAATAAGCAAAATTATTATAAATTGTGTTTATAACAAGTTTAAATTCAAGTTTTAGCAATGATTGAGAATGCTAACTGATCTTTCAATCGAATGATTAAAAACAATGGAATTAATGAAGCGATAAGATGAAAGTAATATCAGTAATTCTAATGAAGATAATTAGTTGACCATTTTGAAATGAAAACTCTTAATGAAATCAGCAGAAATGCTTCTGAAATGACATACCAAATTTAGTTTTTCCTTTTTTTTTTTCTTCCTCTCATCCTATATTCTATGCATTATTCATGATGGCGTAATTGTCCATTGCGTGACATTGGCATTTGACAATCATTGCCCGGACTTTTGCCCTTACCCTTCTTTTCACCTAAATGCTTTACTCTTTCTCCCACTTTCAATTCCTCTACCCAATAACACAAAGCGTTAATATAGGATGGGACATCGGGATGACAATGACAACGAGCATCGTTGACAAAATTGCAAAACGAGTTTTTCCAATTCCAAGAATTTTCTTTCCCTTTTCAAGATGGTTTCATCTTCTTATGTTATGCATTAAAAAATTTTTGGAACTTTTATAACTTTTTTCTGACTTCTCATTTCTAAGACTTATGAGATTAGCTGAAATCATAAACAGATTGTCTCTTTTTATATGATATAGGATAAATAATTGTCCTCTTAAGTCTTCATAATCTAAGGATTACGAATAGGGACAAAGTAATTCTTAAATTTTAATCTAAAAATCTTATTTTATGATTAATTTGATCTAGGAACAAATTATGTGTGCTAAAAAAAATTAACATGAATCTATCGAATTCAATGCTAAAGTTAGCTCAATTTCTCTATTCTTCAATTTCTTCGATAATGAGAAATAAATTCAGAGAAAATTTATAAATTCAGTGTATTAACATAGTGAAAAATGAACAACAGCGATAGTAAACAAAAATTCTTTTGAAAATGCAAAAATATAAAAAAAAAAAAAAAAAAGTTTTTGCTGATTAAATATCTAAATGGTGTTATTAGAAAGAAATTATTAATAATCTCATTGATAATAATAATTATTACTACTGTTGATAATAGTGATCAGAATTGCAATAATCACAATGATCTGCTACTGATAACAGACAACAATTTACCCGGTATTTGTCATTTTGTCATGCATATTTGCCTACTTATCACTTCAGAATGTGCACTTTGTCAATAAAACTTTAGTTAAAGTGATAAGTGATAATTTTATCAAACTATGATAAAAGCACAAGTAAAACAGCACTAATATGATGCTGAAATGATAATGAAGCGATCTATTTCCTTTTTTTTTTTTTTTCTTTTCTTTTCTTTTTTCATTTATGCATGGATCAGAAAAGAAAATGAGAAAAGCTAAAATTTGTTTATTTCATTTTATAGCTAATCCTATCAAATAATCATTTGGATAAAATGAGATAAGTTAGCTCAAGCATAACCATTTGATATTTAACAAATTATAATGCTATAAAAATATCTCTCTGCAAATGTTTACTATATTTATCAGATAATAATTTAGTCTATGGTCATTTAAAATATTTCAAGCATTCATCAAAAGATATTTTTATAGACTTAACTAGTTAAACCGGTATCATCTTTACCGCACTTCTTGATAGTGCACAGCAGTACATTCCTTCAAACTAACACAAATTCACTGATTTATGCTTTCATATTTATGGAAGAAAAGTGCTACTACCGCAACATTCCGCTCGGTACGCACTGCAAAATGTAATAAAGCAATTTTAAAATTTATGAATTTAATGGAAGCAATAAGTGATTGAGTATGTGTGGTAAGGAAGATGAATATTTGCATGAAACACTTTAAATTGAGAACTGTTTGTGGTCATTTCATTCCTTCTCTTTCATCCAATACACAATGCATTTCTATATTTCATTCTAATTGAACAAAAAAAGAAAAAAGAAAAAAAAAATCAAAAGAGCTATCAAAAAAAAAAGTTCATTGAATTTATTTTTTGAATGATTGAATATTTTTTTTAA